CAACAAAACCATATATTTACAACTCCATAAATCAACCCATCATCATAAAATTACATGAAGCATCTGTTCTTCTCTTCAGCAGTTTGCTGAAAAGTTGATTTTCAGTGGGAATATAATATTTAAATGATGTTAATTAATAAAAAAAATCTTATTTAAAACAATTGCAATACTTTTTAAATAGTGAATAAAAGTGAGAAAAATACTCTAAAAGTTAAAGTTTCTTTACACATTTTGTAGCATTGTTTGTGGGTTTGCAAACGGGTTCCTTGACCAGAAGCTGTTTTGGGGGCCATGGCATGGAAAACTTTAGGAACCCTTCTTTTGTTCTACAGTGTGACAGCAGCGCCATCTGGTGACAAGAAGTAATTACAGCAGCAGGAGAGGACCATTGTCTTTAGACCCTGAATCACAAAAATAACCTCCTGCTCAAACATGTTTGCTGTCTTTATCCCAGTCTCCAGATTCCTCCTCACTTCTCTCAGTGCCAGGGTCTCCTGGTCTAAAGGTTTTGTCCTGCACCTTCAGGGCAGGAGACACCACACCGTTTCTTTCAGCCAGGGTTTCTGGTTTGGCGTGGATGATGATCTTCCTGCTGGCAATGACATCACCAGTACATTGGATGTTCTAACCACACAAACATGATGTATACTATATAAACTATAAGTCCACCCTGTCTCCGCCGGTCATAGCTTCTCTGATGGTCTTCTGGGCTTTCAGAATTGGGACACCTGTGCTTGGCCAAACAGTGAGGGTTTCCTCCGAGGTTGAGAGGGTGGACCATTTCACTTACTTTGGAGTGATAAGCACAGGACCTGACCTGGTCACTACACATAAAGGCCAGAGAGTCTTCCACCCCAGGGACTTCAGAATCCCCCTCAAGGTGCTCAAAAATGTCCACACCTGCATCAATGAGAGCATGTTGAGCTGTAGCATCACCCCCTGGAGCTGGGCTAAAGAGGACTTCAAGGTCCTTAACAGGGTGGCAGAGCTGGCTCTTGGCATAGGCAAATTAGGAGGTCACCTAGAGCGCCATCATCTGGACGGGGCGCCAAACTGCAGAAGAAAAAAGTAATTATTTGTAATCCCTGGTTGTAACTCTGCTCAGCTCCCCTTTCAATTAGCTTTGTCTTAAAAAACAATAATGAAGTATTACAGGAAAGATAAGCTACTCTACGCATAAAACCCCCCCCCCCCCCCGTGCAGTAGTCGCCCCCACCCCCTCTCTCATTTGATTGACGTTGCACTGACTCGTCCTGCCCTGACACTCTGACGGGGGAGGGGCTAGCAGTGCCTCTCAGGTAGCGGTTCATGTTGACAAACTCAATAACAACAAGTCTGTATTTTGTTGTCCCATACATGTCAACCTCTTCAGACGTCTACCTGTATAAAAAGCCTCAAAAATCTGTAAATTTTGAAAAAAAAAAAAAAAAAAAAAACAACATACAACTCGCACGCCCGAGGGGTGTGTGTGTGTGTGTGTGTGTGTGGGGGGGGGTCAGCCTCACTGAGGACATGAGAGCGCCCACTGCGAAGCAGGAGGAAAATAGAGCGGGAAAAGTTCAAAACTTATTTCTAGCGGCAGAACAGGTTGGAAGATGGCTATTTAATGGTATTTATTATTTTTTAAATCATCCTACAGGCTCTGACATGTTAGATAAATTTTAAAATGAGGTTTTGAAAAAATCTGTAAGACTTGAAAAAACACGTGAGATTACTCTATATGTCCGTATACCTGCAAAATGATGTAAAATCCTTATAACTTACAGACAATTGGTACAAGTTGACATGTACGAATGTTGTTATTTATTTGCTTTCTGGGAAAGCAAATAAATCTA